GATTTTTTGGCCCCCCGAGGGCCCTAGGGTTGTTTTCTCACAAGGACCGATGCGAGTGTGGCCGAATTCGGCCGAAAACAGCCAACCTGAGGCGACTCGCCGCCGCCAGCGACGGCGCCGTCGCCGGAGCACGGCGGAGCCGCCGTGCCGGAGTTGCGATTTGGGCCGAAAGAGGCCCTGGGCCTAATTTGGGTTTTTTTTTGGAACACGTGCAGGTACTGTTAGTGTGTTTCGGTTCCCCGAAAAAAATTCAGGGAAAATTAGGGACGGCCTGCAGGCGCACTGTGAATCGTATTCGGATCCCGAAAATAAGTAAGGACCCCTCACCCTATTTCCTATCACGGTATTAAAGTTCAAAATGATAAAACGGTATTTCTTGAATTAACGAATGTGTGAAATTGCTTAAGGCGGCTAATGGAGCCCGAGTATAGTGTGATTGGTGATTTACTGTTATTTGGCCTGTTTACAGCTTTAAATGCAAAATGAGGTTTGATGTGTTCATTTTACAGATTTGTGTGCATATACTACGTTTTTATTAATCATGGGTTGAATGACTGAAAAACTGATACTGTATGTTGTCTGTTTGGCATGAATTACTGTTTTGCTGGTTTGTATGTGAATTGATGATGCTGACTGAGGAAAGGGAAAAAGAAAGATTGTGTAGACTGATAATTGTATTATGGGGGTCAGCCTGACTAGATATCCTGGGAGATGGTGGACGGACCGGGTCCGTAGGGAACCCTACCGGGATTGTGGTCTCACATACCGGACGGGGTATGGGGACGGCCCGTTTCACCCTCATACCGGACGGGATATTGAGGTTTATGGTTTTGGCGCCCATACCGGACGGGGTATAGGGACGGCCCGTTTCACCCTCATACCGGACGGGGTATTGAGGTTCATGGTTTTGGCGCCCATACCGGACGGGGTATGGGGACGGCCCTGGAAACTGATTATGAATGTTAAAGGTTAACGGGTAGCGGAACCCCTATGGACACCCACGGATACTAGTAGGCTGGTAAATGAGAAAAAGATATGTTGTACAATGATTGAATTACAAGAGGCGTGATAAGTGTTATGTTTTACAGCTTATATTATTCCATGATTATGATAATGTTATTGTTTTCTTATATTATTTTCATAAATTCCACCGAGGTAAGTGGATGGTAAAGGTTTTCATGTTAATAAACGAGTTTATTGTAAATTATGCTCCATTGGTCTTTTTGTATTTTTCTACCCACCTTTACCTCCGTGACGGTGAGACATCGTGATGTTCTTACTGGGCTAGTGTAGCTCACTCCTTATTTAACCATTTCAGATCAGGAAGACATGGTTCCCGAGCCTGTTCCGCAGGAGGACGACGAAGGGGATGCCTAGAGACTCTGTAGTCATACTCATAGTTTTATTTTCGAGTTTCTCTCTTAGTTAGTTTAATCTTTTATATTTTAAGTACGTTTTTGGTTTTTCGTGTAAGGGATGTTAACTGAAATTTTGATCTCGCTTCCGCATTTGATATATTTAAATACTCATTTCATTTTAATATTTCCGGGGCCTTTACAGTATGGACCCACTATATAGGAACAACTCTACTGTGGGCATTATTTCAGTGGAACGGGGCTGAGAAGTCTCATACCGAAAGGGGTTGGGAGGTATAATTCACCTTCATACCGGACGAGATATTGAAGCAGTGATATGTTTTACGCCCATTACCGGACGAGATATGTGGACAACCCGTTAATCGATAATTTGGATATTAGATCCCATACGTAGGGGGATCCCTATGGACCTTCAAAAGTGCTGGTAAGCAGGTAAAAAAGTAAGTTATTGTTATTGCTCAATTGAATATGATATCGTAATTTTATTTGGGTTATTGTCTTAATAAATCGATTTTAGAAACTCATAAGGGTAAGTATGAAATAACAATTTTTAAGTTAAATGAATTTATTTAAAAAATAATAATTGTTCCATTGGTTGTTTAACAATATTTTCTAACTTATGGTTTTCTGAATCGGTGTCGGGATTGAGCGTGATATTTTTACTGGGTTAGTGTAGTTCATCTCCCTTATTTAACTATTTCATATAAGGAAGAATAAGATCCAGATCCTGAATAGTAAGAAGGTTGTGAATAAAAACTGTCTCCCAGATCCTATCAGAGTTGCCCAGTGGAGGTTAATCTTATAGGATTTTTAGTTACGTTTTGTTTTATTTACTTATTCTGTTATTTGAACATCCTTAAAAGTGATATTTTAATAACTCTATTGAGTATTTTAATTTACTGTATAAGAAATATAAACTCTAAACTCTAAAATTGCTTCCGCTTATAGTTATTGAATTTAAAATTTCCATATTCAATAAATGTTGGGTTTTACAAGTTAGCTTCTTAAATTAAAATTTATTAATATTTCATGATGATGATAACTTTTTTTTCTATCAATTTGATAGATCCAAATATATTTTTTAAAAAAACTCTGGAATTATATATTGAATAAGCATTCATATTTTTAGATATAATGCTACTTCAAAACACTTAAATTGAAACTATAATAACAATTTCGCTAATATGATAAATTAATATTTTTTAAATTAAATTTTATATATGAAAGAGGTATTCAAATATTTTTTATTATCATTTTAAATTTATTTATTTTTTTGCAGCAAATATAAGTTGCAATAAATTATTCAGAAACAATAGGTTAGTAGAATCATGTCTTGCCCATGTTCTTTATTTTTTTCCTATAGAGCATAATGGGGTCCTTAAAACCTTATCAAATTCTAGTCCACACATAGACACATTTATAATATCAAGATCATTTAAAAATGACTTAAGATATATTTTACTATACAAATTATGCACAAACTAATTTAAATAAGTCAGTATGCTGCGACAGTCTAATATGATTTAAATCTTAATGAATTTATTATATTTTTTAATAAAATAAATATTTCGTGACGGTTACATTCTCTTAGTTATGGTAATCAAAATGAATAAAAAAATTTAATATAATCTTTTTAACTTTTTAAAAAAATTGTTGTGTGTATCAACACTTCTATTGTGAATTACCCATGATAGAAAAATACAAAAGATAGTTGGAAGCATTAAAAGGAGTTTTAAAATTATATGGGTAAGTCAAATAATTGTTAATCATTGAAATGGATAGATGAGGAATGCAAGGGGGAGGAGGCATCTCACATGGAGAAGGTGTCAAGTGGAGGAAGAGACATAAAAAGTATTTTTGGAGTTGTTGGAATTAAGTCAATGGTTGGAGTGTAAAGGCACCACCCTCAACCCACATCGCCCCCACAAACCAACCAACCAACCAACTTGCTAGTATGGGTAAGGTTGAAGATTGCCATAACTTTGCTCATGGTTTCTGTTTTTTTAACTTTTTTCTTCCAACTTCTATCCAAAACTTATTATAATTAATTATATGCGTGTGTATGTGTATTTTTTATTATATTGAAAAAATAAATTATATAGTAGTCTCTTTTTTAATACAGTGTATAATTATATTTGATTATTATTTGTTAATAATTTAATTTTTATTTTTTTATTAATTAATTAATAAATAAATAATTTAGCACTAATTATAAGATAGTTCCTAATATTTTTTTCTAATAATTTAGTTCATACTATTTTTACATTATTGTTAAAATATTAAAATAATTAATCCGCATTTAGATAATTAAATTAAATTTTGAAATATTTTCTAAAACATTCAAAGGTAGTCTAACTATATTAATTTTTTTTTATATAAATTGAAGAAAAATATATTTTTTAAACATATTTAAGAAGTCAGAGAAAAACATTATAATAAAAAATATTAAAATTTTTATTATAATAAATATAAATTTTCAAAGATTAATGTAGTAATTTGTCTAATTAATACCACAATAAAAATTTTGTAACTAATAATAGTTAATATAAAACAGATTATTATTTCGTGTTTTACTGAAATATAAAATATTAGTACCCCTAGAGAGTAAAAAATAATGTAAACGTAAATTGAGAAAATTTATTGAATAATTGTGATACTTATGTTAAGTTATTAAATAAATAATAAATAAAGTACTTTTTTTATTAATTAAAATGCAAATCTAACATACCCTTGGTATGGAACTTGTATGTGTAATTTCATTTGGGCATGAGATGGAGTGAGTATTAACATATAATGTGAATTTTATATTTTTTTTAAAAAAAAAATGGTTACAAGCTAATATAAAAATTTAAAGTTTATCTTTCATAATAAAATGCTAAATTTTTTTTTAATTATAATAATGGGACCCACTGCCAGCAACTTGTAAACAAAGTAAGTGCTTGCCTTGTCAAAGGTCGGCTTGTCTTAGCCCACCGATTGCATCGTGAAAGGGCCCATTACATAAAAACATATTATACAAATACAATAATTTCAAATATTTAAAAGGAATATTCCCATTTACCTAAAAAAAAAAAAAAAAAAATCTCAACCAAATTATATTATTTCATATAATACAAATAAAAGATATAAACATGATTAAATCATGTTAAACTCAAAATTAATTATAAGTTCAACACAATAATACAAATTCATCTTCACATAATTAAAAATGTAAATAATTATTGATTTAAGTATACATCAAATATATAAAATATGATACATTTTTACATATTAATTAAATAAAACGTAGAATTGAATACGAGTAAATTAAATTCAATGCTTGACAAAAATATTATTTGATCAGGTCAAAATTGCATTTTAGAATTGATTCAAACCTCATTAATGGTTGGAAGTCAACATTGAAATTATTAACTGACCTTTAGCGTTGGAGAACCCCGCCCCACCATATGCTTAAAAGGTCACACTATTAGAACATTAAAAATGTTAGCGGCCAACTATTTTTTTGGGTGGATCAGACCGGGCTGGGAGCATTGGGACTGAATTATTTGGACCGTCCGACATGGTTGAACATAGCCCAGTACGGACTGGATTCGGGTCAAACCCGTGTAAAGCCCATGAAAATAATTATTAATTGTAAATTGATAATTAAGGATTGAGGATTAGTTATTTGGTAAATTAATCTCATACTTCAGCATACGTTAAAACTTCAAGATTTACAGAGCTTGAAATCAAACTGATCTGCAAACAACCAAACGACACCGTTTTGCTTAACCCTTTCTCTTCAGGACCTTACCTCAAATTGTTTCATGCAGATGCGGAACATCCTTGTCCTCTCCATTGTGGTCTCTGAGCTCTTTGGCGTAGAGCCGGCGACGCCTCTCTCTTCCATAGACCATCCAGAAGATCAGCGACAGCATTACCGCCGTCGACACCATGACCAGGCCAATATAGATCCATCGGCTGTATCGACGCAGATTGGGACACCGGTCCCTGGATATATCGCTGAATGTTTGCCGCACAAATGTGCAGTCTTGTAGCTGGACAAGGAAAGGAGCATAGTTGTAGAGTGCGTAGCTCACATTTACGGCCGCCACCATCTGGCTGTATATGGCTGGAGTCAACCGGCCGGTTGTTGTGCATATCCCACTTGGTGAAACTTGACAGACATAACTGCTCCACACCTGCTTCCATTGAATCAAGTTAATATCATGTTCAATATTCTGTTCAAAGTTTGCCGCCTCTCCGAATCCATCTTTAATTTCAACGAACCATAGTCAGAGTCCAAGTAAAATTCAAATAAAACTTCGGTTTGAGCTTCAATGTTTTGACTTCTAATACTTGATTCACAAGTTATGATGATTCTACCTATATTTTCTTTAGACTTACCTGAGTAGCATTATTCAAGTCAACTTCACCGGGAGTACAAGCTCGATCAGTAAAATTGGAGAAAAAAGGATTGCAGAGCAGTGGCAGCAATGGACCAGACTGATTGTAGTACATTGGAACAAAGTTGGGGGCAAAATTAATGTTGGAAACATTTGTTATGACCTCGTTAACTAGATCAACTAGCTGAGAAGTTACTTCCTTGCTTCGCATCAAGGTTTCTTGAGAAGTTGCGTTGTCAACACAAGGGAGTATGTCATCTAGAGCTGTGTGAGCAGTGGGATTTTCAACCCACTGTTCCATAGCAACACATGTATCCGCGGCAGCACTGGCAAGTCAAGCAAATTAAGAAGAATCAACTTACCCGAATTCTCGGAGAAGCTAAGGTATGATATAAACAGTTAATTGTTAACAGATTTTGACCAATTTAATCAGGGTATCAAAGCATGTTATAAATAACAGATTAGGCCATTCCTGATAATTAAAAGCAATTTGGATGATTGAAGCAATCGATTATTCAACATTCAAATTCATAAAACTTAATCTATTATTTAACATTCAAATTCATAAAACTCATAACATTCAAATTCAAACTTACTTGTGGAGAAGGAGAAATGTGCCACACAAAATAAATGTTCCAGCAACAAGAATCCATCCTAGGATCACGAGGCTACAATGTATAGAGAATCAATCGTTAGGAAAAGGCGTGAGGAAAAAGAAAATCAAGTTTGTGGGATATATCAGAGCTTTACTCACATATACACGAGAAACTGCATTCCGAAAACTGAGAACACTGGAAAAATGCATAGAATATGATTAGATTACGCCAAAATATTGATTTAGTCCCTGTACTTTTTTAAAATATTTAAATGAGTCTATGTACTTTTTTTTGTAATGCCTTGTACTTTTAAAAAATTTATATTTCAGTTATTACCCGTTAATGGTGTTATTGGAGGTGCCACATGGACCCAAACAGGCCATGTGATACATTCTGAATATGTCGTCATCCACATCAGATGGATGACGTGGCATCTTGACATGGTAAGATTTAACTTCTTATAAATAAGCCGGTCAATCCAGGTTAAGAAAACACTAGGTTGAGTTAATCATTTTTAGCCCTAAATCCCAAATTCACCGAACCCTAAATCTCCTTCGTCGTGCTCTTCTTCTCGGCAGGTTGCACAGAGATCTCTTGTTAGTTGCGCTCTCTCCTTCTCGTTTGCTGGTGGCTTCTTCTGGTGCTTGATTGTCCCTCGTCTCACTCACTGGTGGCTGCTTGTTGCGCTCTCATTTGTTTGAGCATCTTGAGTTCATCTTCAGTTGTACTTTGATTCATTTGTTCTCACTTTATTTGAAATGCAAGAAAAAACTCATGTCCTCATACCCTAGGAAGTTATCATTATAATATACAAAGGGTAGAAAGCATCTGAATATCTTGGGTTGTGTGATTGGAAAAGCACATTTAGTTCACTGGAGGAGTCATCAGAAGGAGTGGGGAAAGCTACCAGAAGGAGATTGCAAACACTACTCCAATCAGAGCGCAAGGAGGAAGAATCACAACAGAGAAGGCGAGGAAGAAGAAGTGGTGAATTTGAAAATTTGAGATTTTCGGGTTAAAATTAGTGGATCGGTCTGTTTTTTACCTAGACTAAAATTTTTTAATTGAACCAGTTTAAGTTGTATGAACTAAAAAGTATATGTCAGATACCATGTCATCAGACATGTCGCATCTAATGTGGATAAAGACTCACTCAGAATGTGTCATGCGACCAATTTGGGTTCATGTGGTACTTCCATTAACACTGTTAACAAGTAAAGACTGAAATAGAAATTTTTTTCTAAGTACAAAGATAAAAGTAACAAAAAAAAAAAGTACAGGAACTAATTTAAATATTTAAAATAATAAATGAACTAAATTAATAATTTGTGCAATTAAATTAAGACCAAGATGGAGAATTTCAAATAGTTAAAAAAAGGAAATTGTTCAGTATCTTAGTAAGGGAATGGAAAAGACTTACAGAACCCAAGAAATGTCAAGACAAGCATAATTCCAGCCGTTACAATAAGTGCAAGCCGCCTGCAAGAACGTTACCATGCTCCTTTTACACAATTATAGATTAATAAGTCGTAATCAGATTTCTCAAAAATGTAAACGAGTAGAAAATGACACAGTTTGCTATACTATAACTTCAAATTTCCTCTCACGCACAAGCATAATTATGTTTGTTATGCTTGTGCTAGATAAGCACATGAAACATTGCACATACAAATTACTAGAACACATAACGAATTTGCAAAACCAAAGGTTCAAAACCAACATCTCAAACCCTATTTTGTAAAAATAAAAAGTGTAAGATGTATATTAAGAATATGACATCAAAGAGGTGCATCCTATTTACAAATATTTACATCTTAACAAGTATATCAATAACATTTTTAAAATCCTCTGGCCTATAAATGTCATGACTCAGAATCAAAGAGCCAATATAGTGTATCCATCTCTCTCTAATTTTGGACATCTTGCATCCTATCCCCTCAAATGGAGATCTCAAACCCTAATACCATATAACTATAATAGATTGTGATAAATTTATTATTTATACTGTATCTTAACATAGGTTACTTCAAAAATCACTAATAAAGAAAAAAATCAAAGGTCTTACAGTCATTCTCTTACACTGAATCCACAAGATCTTTTACATCATCCGAACTGTCCATTGTTGTTTTGGCAACATTGTCAGCGGAAGAGCTGATTTTTGCTTCGATCTGATCGATGTCAGTTTGGACATTGGAAGGCAGAAACACTTGGTCAACACCAATCTGCTTAGCAGCAGAAAGATAGTTTAAGACATCCTTCAGTTTCACCACAGTGGCATCAGCTTGATTCACAACATACTCCAGTGTTTCTTTTGTACTGCTATGGAACCTTCCCTGGCCAGCATATAGAACTACACAGCCAACTCTGTAATTACAGAAAAAAATATCAAATCCTCGCAGTAAAACACAGGTTCCTTTGGGACTGGACATGAAGAGGAGGGGAAGAACGGGAAGAGGGTTATTTGCTCAGTAAAATAGAATGAAGTAAATCATATGAAATTCGTTCACAAGTCCACAAGAGAAATGCAAATTTGATTAGGAGATAATAAATTTGAGTTTATTGGAAAATGTTATGCCGAGTTAGAACAATTCATTCAAATTCTATTAAATTTGAGAGAATTTGAAATGCATCAATGGGATTCAACTCATAATCTTCTAGTCGAAGCAAGCATTGTTCGCAAATAAATCTCATACAAACTTTACAATTGTTCAAAACAGCCAAAATGCATTGAACCAAAATTCCTCAGTGAGGCAAATTACTTCTATTCTCTTCTCGTCTGTCCCACAAAAACCCTTCAACATAAATTTGAATTGAGTCAGAAAGAAGTCTTACACTGCAAGTATGGTGAAAGCTACGAGGAAAATGAGGGAGAGAGCATAAGCTGCTCGAGAATAGCCATAAGGTTCTCGTTTACAACAGAAATGGCAGAGAAAGATGAGCAATAAGCACAGCCCAAAGAGTACAAACCAGATTGCAGCAATGGCGAAAAAGGGAACTGCAGTAAAGCCCACAGACTGCATTTAAGACAGTGATGAAGTAATCAGTTAAGAAAGAAAGAGTTTCACAGATCGAATTTCCTATGTGACATTGTTATCCTGAAAACAAAAACTTAAATTCTTAAACTCAACTTATTGTTTTGGTCAATATGGGATAAGCTTATAAGCTCTCTAACCAGAAGTTTATCATTGTTAAATGGTAAAAAGGTTCATAATTTAGACAGCTTATAAACAATTTTTTCAAAAAAGCTTTAAGCAATGCAGAAGTGATATAAGTTTCAGATAGAAAAAGAAAAATTACCCAGCTTTATAAATATATTTATTTATTATGTGTAATTCCAATAATGATTCTCATGGCAAATCTGATGAAACTTACAGCCCAGTAATGGCGATCTCTGATATTCCATCCTCCAGTGTATCTTTTGAACCCATCAAGAGGGTCTTTTCTGTAGGTGCGCTCGGGGGCTAGAACTAGTAAAGGGTTCTCGACTGGTTCACCAATGGGTCCCTCCACAACAGACCTCCTGCTAGTATTCCGCCATGAAAGCTCCAAACCATACCTTGCTTTATTTTCTCCCCCTGAAAACGAAACAGAAAATCAGCAGGAAAATGCCAAACAGGGCCCTTAATTTCCTTTTGTTTAAAAAAGGTAAGCAAAATAGACTTTTGATAGCCAATTTGGAGAGTAACAGAAAGATTAAGATAATCACAAGATTAAATTTTGAACTTTTTGATGAAAAGTTAAACCCAGTATTTAACATTTAAAGATGAAATAGTTTGTTGATTTTTTTTTCTTTCTGATACATTTTGGAAAACAGATAAAGTATGAAGAACAAAAGAACAAGAACGGAGCTTGTCTGTCTGTGAGAGAGAAATAAGGCTCAAAAACTAAAATCCACTACTCGGGTTTTAAAACTAAAATAATGAGAAGTTTCTTTCTCCACTCTGCTAGATTTTCGAGGGAAACAAACAGAAAACAAAAAAGTCTGACATTAGTATGTAAGGAGAAGTACCTGCAGGAAGTGGAGGGAGGAAGCGAGAGGCTCCGTGGGAGAAAGGAAGAAATGTTAAGCAAGAAAAGAAGAGCAATGCAACTGCCAGGGAAAATTGCAGTAACCTGTAAAAATACACCATTGCAACAAACGCAGAAAAAGAGAAAAATGACTGTGGCGGTTAGGCGAGAGGAGAGAGGGAACCAAAACCAAGCATTGAATAGTTTGTACTAATGGCGGTTCTCGCAGATTACCAGTTAGCCAAACATGTCAAAATACCAGTTCCTAACCAAAAATCCAATCTTTTCTTCATTTAAAACGTTAAACTTTTTACACTTTACATGTAAAAATTAACAGGAAAGTTTGATACCATGGTTAAGAGCCAAAAAGTTCAATGACTCTATTAGATCATTTTATAAAATTATCAAATTTATGTGAAAGAAAAGAAAAGTCTTTATTTTTTATTATGAAAGATAAATTATGATATGGTTCCTATTGAATAATTTAAAAGAAAATATCTGTCTAAGAGAATGTGGGTATCAAATGATGGAAAATAAATAATGTTAAAAGAAGGGGAAAAAAGCTAACAGACAAAGGAAAATGATTTGAAGGAAAATGGGAAGGACCCAGGAGTTCCAGGAAACATGTCATTAATTCAAGGCTCTTTCTCCAAGGAATTGTGGTGGCTGGCTGCCACTACAATCTCTCCTTTTCACTGTGTATTTTTTGACTAATGAATCAAAGCACAGCTCTTGTCTATGTCCTACTCTCATTTGTTTTTTCTTCTTCTCCTGGTTCTCTCATCTGTTAATTCTCTCATTATTAATATTTAATCTTCATTAAATTATTGCTTCCCTTAGATTTTTTTTCAACATGGTCCCTAAAGATGTCTTTTTCAAATTTAAGTTGATATATTTATGTTTCCTTCACATTAAACTACAACTAAAGGGACTAGTTTCAAGTGATTATTTTGTTGGTAAATTTTAATACATAGAGATAGAGAAGGTGTAGATTTTGTTTGAAATGAGTTTGCAAAATATATATATTTTAATTAAATTAAGTAGCAAGTGATTCATCTTTAGTTAACTTAAAAAGTTCTTATGATTAATTTTCATGGTATTACATTCACTCTAAAGTCTCTTCTATTTCATTGGTAAAAGTACGAGTATGTAAATAATTAATTAATAAATAATATATTAATATAATATTTTTTCTTCATTTTAATATGTGAATGATATGAAATTTGATTATAAAAATTAGCTAATAAACTATAAAATAATTTTTTCAATCACAATATGACTCATATAGAGAAGAATAAACAAATTTGTACATAAAAATAATGAGAGTTTTATATCCCTAAGTAGCTTGATTAATCTTACTCTTGAGTTTTAGTTTGCGTACAGGTAAAAATCTCATGAGTAAAATTTAAGAAAAAAAGTCTATAACCCTATGGTATAGTCCCCTCTTCCTATAGAGCGGTGCAAGACTAATATGTACATTGTTCGATTTATGATGATCCTAACAATACAACTGGCGGTAGCCTCATTCGTGACAATAATATTTATTTGGGTGACCAACTTCACATATAATTTTAATTATACGAATTATATAATGACACAAATTCTTGTCATTATAAGAATCAGGTTTGTACAATATAAGGGCATCAAGAAGTTTATTATCGAAGTAAACTTTTTTTTTTTTTTGTACATGTATTATAATTAAGTGAGATAATTGAATATTTGAATGTAGATAATCAATTAAAAAGACTCGTGTCTCACGGTATGAGAGGTCTACATTTTCCATGCACTTCAATAAACAAACATATATGTAGATTCTTTTGCTATTTGCACACATTATATTTGTGAAGGCACTATCAGATTCATGTATATTCATATAAACCTCAAATTCTATTTTTACTTTGATTTATAGGATACTACATTAATTTATATAACTACCCATATTATAAAATAATTTTATCTATTAGTATGCATAGTGAAAAAAAAGGAAGAATTTCAATACACATAAATTTAGTTAGGAATAAGTTTTTTAAATATATAAAAACGGTCCAAAATTTTGTTAAGAATGGTTGAGCCAACATAGTACATAAATGTAAATTAAAAAATAACAATAAAAAAATGAATTTGTTTACAATTGATTGATACTAGTTTTATTATTTTTACTAATTTTTAGTTTTTAATTATGATATTTTATTATCATTTCAATTTACATTGTTACTTAGATCACTCACTTAATTTAATATTATTTGTTTAAATCGCTTATTATATCTCATATTTTAGTAATGTCTAAAAATTAAATTTAGCATCATAGTAAAACAAAATTATTCTATTATTATATGTATATGTTAGCTATTTAACAAATAAAAATTAATAATTTATGTATTCAATGTATGATTAAATAAATATCACTTATTTTCTTTAAGAAAATCTAGAACTCTAAAGCTAATTAATTTGATCTGTACTAAAAATTATAACACTGTTTTCGTATAAATTTTTATTTATATTATTATAAAAGTAGAAGTTGAGTAAAATACAACGTAAAGGAAGATACCAAAAAAAAAAAAAAAAAAAAAAGATAAATTAGTTGTCCAGGAAAAAGCTTATTTGAAAATTACTGAAGACTTTTAAAAAATTACAAAAATTACGGTCAATCTGACGGGAAAACTTCCACAGACGAAACGGAAACGGAGTTAACAGAATTCGGATAAAACAACAGGACACAAATAAATAGTAGACAAAACTAAAAATGCCTTGACTTGTGATACTAATCGCATCAGACGGTGATAAAGTGAACTGACTCCGCCTTAACTCGTGATAGTAATGGCATCGGGCGGTGATTAAAAGAACTGACTCCTGCGAATTTCCGAGCGCACTAACGGCGAAGAAGAGTAGAGGAGAGAGACAAATCAGCGGCATATCTTTTTTACCTCTCCTCTCAGTCTCAGATTTTCCTTTCCGGAGGAAAAATCCATTGTCGAACATACAATCACTGTTTTTCAATCAACGGAGGTATCAATCTCTATCTACTTCTTCTGGCGTTGAATTGATCGGATGAAAAATTATGATGTACATTTAAATGTCTGTATCGGATAGGGGAGCACCGATTTTCTGTTTGGTTGCAGCGTTCTGTTACTTTTTGATTCATAGAAGCCAAAAGTTGGTCTTTTGATTGTCTTGATGATGAATTGAGCTGTGCTTTTTTAGTTGCTAGTACCTTGAAGCTTTCTATGTCTCGTCGATAGGAGCTATTGAGACTGAGGCTGGGTATACAGTTAGGAGCAACGCTGCTTTATGGAGTAATTTAGTCAATTCGGCTTTCTTTTTCTTTTCTTTGAACTCTCCTCTTGATGCTATCGCAATTGAATTGAGTTTGATGGATAATAGAGTTAATATTGGCTTTGTCTTGTCCTGTTAGATTTTTTTCCATGTATATTTTTTTAACAATAAAATTTTATTTGGTTTTTCGTTATAGCTTAATTATCTTCAACTCTGAAAAACCCCCCAGAGAAATTGTTTCTCTTCATATGATGAGTTATCAAGTTCAGTTTTCCTCTAAGATTTCTAGTAAGTGTCCCGAATTCAAGTTGATTTATGTCTTGCTTGGAGCCTATTACTTTCTCGGACTTGGGGCTTAGAGCTGGTTTCTTTACTCTCTCTCTCGTTTTTTTTTTCGTCAAGGATGTCTTTAAATACGGAGGAGTAAGCTGGGCTGCTGATCTTTATTGGCTTTGTTGATTCTCGTCTTTCAGTAAATTTGCTACTTTTTCCATATCTGAGCAGCATCCTTATTAACCATTGAGCAAACTCCTTTTTTTTTTATTTTTTTTTTATTTCAAGGTATCTTCTCAAATGGAGAACGTTCTCTGCTTGTCAAATTGGTTGATTGACACCTAAAATTGTTCACCCAGGCTGAGCACTCTTCTAAGTCTTCACGATCCAATACTGGTTTTTTGGTTGATTGAATTAAGCAAAGGCAAGATATTTAAGACTGGCTGGCTGATACATAGCTTGTGTTGTTTTTCTTCTTAAAGTTTCTGCTACAATGAGTCAAACACTACATGGTTTAAATGGAACACTTTTAGGAATCAATATATTATGATAACTCTACATATATCATATATATATATTCAAAAAATTTAAGTTGTGAGAATTTCATATTTTTACTCGGCATCAGGCATCCAAATGGGTTTTTTATGGTTAATGGATGCTGCTTGTTGAGAATTTGGTGGCTATTGGTGTGTTCCTGACACTTTTTCTTTTGATTGATATTGTTTGATTTAGTAATCCCGTTTTTTCTTGATTTGTACGTGCTGAAAGTGTGGATATTTTTTTAAGTGTTGTGAAGCTGTAGAAAAAATGGGAATCAGTGGTGGAGACGAACTTATGGTTTCTGGAAGTCACGAGGCTGGCTGTTCTGAAGCTACTGTGGAGATAAAGATAAAAACATTGGACTCTCAAACCTACACCTTAAGAGTGGATAAATGCGTAAATGCCATTTACTTCTTCATTACATACCTAAGATGGCTTCCTGATATGTTCCTGGACAAGTCTGCAATTCTTGTCTGAGACACTGGTTTTTTTCTGTTGATCGCGGGACAGATAGCTTATAAGTTTTTCCAATTAGTGTCTTTGCTGTGCTGCACGCAGACTACCTGCTGCTAGGCCGTCTACACTATAATTTGCAGCTTTTAGTTTCCATTACCTATACTATGTTTTCTCTCGTCTGTTTCTGTTCTTGATTTTGTCTTGTCTTGCAGGTTCCCGTTCCTGCATTGAAGGAACAAATTGCTTCTGTGACTGGTGTTGTGTCAGAACAACAACGTTTGATATGCCGTGGAAAAGTTCTGAAGGATGATCAGCTCCTTTCAGCTTACCGCATCCTTTATTTTGAAAAAGTATTGCTTCGATGTTCAGGTCCTATATTTGTATATTTCCAGTTCACGAAATAAATATCTAGGTGAACCTGTGGATGCTAGGATTATGGAATGCAAGTAAATATAGCTGATTATTCTTCTCTAGTTTTTATTCTGTTAAAAACCCCTTTTTGTGGCTTTTCTACTCTGGACTCCTTTTTCGGATCTGAAAAAACATTTCAACTTGGGGCTTAAAATTGCTATTTAAGTTAATGTTGGTGTTTCATTATGAAATTAAAGTTGATTTCTTATAAAGAGTTGTCCAATGCTTGGAAAATGGATCTTCAGTAACATGGTGGAGTAGATTAAATAGATATTAGTGATACAAATTCTCTTAAATCTTTTGTCAACCTATTTGTATGGCTTCCTTAATAAATTTAGCTCAGATGTGGAAGATGGTCACACGTTGCATCTGGTTGTCAGGCAGCCAATTCCCTCACTGTCTGAGGCCTTGCCTGATCATTCAGGTAGGATTTTCTATAAGTCTCTTATCTGTTTGAGAAATTTAACTGGTGACATAACTTTATATAATTGTTTAAGATATATCGTCCATTGTATGCACTTCAGATTTTTGTTTAAGATATACCCAACTTCTTCCATAGCATGCATTTTTTTCCTCTCTCTAAACATAATTTTGATGGTGGGCATTTATTTCATGTTCAGATGTGTAGCTTTGCTTGAGAAATACCACAAAACTGGGATGTTTCAATTTTTCTGTTAAAATTAACAATAAAATGACTATCATTTGAAATGATATACAAAAGGCATAGGAGTATTATAAATTTTGGCGGAACAAACAAAACTTTATCAGTTAATTGCACATTTTTTCTATTTAAAAATAGTCATAAAAAAGAAATCCAACAATGGGTAACATTTTTCATACCTTTCCCTATTTTCTTTTAGAGAAGATAGAAATATTATTAACAGCAACAAGGGTGTGACCCATATACAGGCCACTTTCTCATTTCTGTACTATTGTAAATGTTGCTTCTCTAAGACGGCTGATCTAGGTTGCATTAAATTCATGAAAACTTTCCCTTAGATATTTAGCCTTTTCTTTTTCTTCAAGTTGTTTACAGTCTGATGCATTTTTCATTTGCATTCCTACACTTTCTATTGGCAATTCCTTTGCTATTCTATTGTGTGGCCCAACAACTGAATTCCTTACACAACATACAAACCAATCAGAAATCTTTGTGGTACTTCCTCCTGCTTTAATAAATTGTTTTTTCTCCTAATGAATCTAATTGTCTCCTTATAAATATCTGAACCAATGATATCTAGAGATAGGTTTAACTTTCCATCTGCTAATTTGATTATTTAGCAACATTTTCAGCAACTAATCCTGCTTCAAACACTGAGAACTCTTACGGTGGTCGGGGTTCCAGTATAGTAGTAGGGACCTTCAATATTTCTGAACAAGGGGATGGAACTTTTCCAGATCTCAGCCAGGTTGGTGCTAAAAATTCTGAACTGATAACTGCTTTTAATCATGCATTTACTTGGCAAATAATTTTTTTTTTTTTCTCTGCTTAACTTTTCCCTCAAATGACAGGTTACAGGTCTGAGTTCTTCCGGAATTTCAAGTGCCGGAAGTGGCACTGAATGGGATGATCTTAGGGTAACTACAAATACTTGCTTCATGAACTGGCATCAAGTTCAAGAATAGTAGTTGCATAGAGTCTCTTTGTTGGTTTGAAGCACTTAAAGCATTATCAAAAAACCTTCTTTCATCTGTGGGTTACATGTAAACGTTGCTTTTGTGGCAGGCATATGCATTGGAGAGACTTTCGAGAGTGTCTGCTGCAAGTGGTGCAAGAGATTCCAGCAGACAGCTTGCCAACCAGGCTACAGCAGGGAATCCCTCCAGTCCTCTGGGTGTTGTACCTGGAACTGCTAATAATTTGGAGCCTTTCCAGCTTCCAGTCGGTGCATCTTTTTTTTCTTTTTTTTCCCCTGCCTGCTTCCCTCAATCTTCTGTTTCTTCTTCTAACTACAAAGAAAAGTAAGGCTCCTTGTGGCTCTCGCAGGTTATTCATGATTCTTTGACAACATTATCTCAATATCTAAATCATTTGAGGAATGAATTTGTTAGTAATGGTTAGTATAAAATTTACACCTTTTTGTCAAAGAAATCATTCCCTTAATAAAAAAACTTGGCATTATGTTGATTTTTGTTTTCAATTTCACTTTTCTCTATCCTCAGATCTTGAAATTTTGAATTTGCTTTAGGGGCTAACGGAAACATTTTACAAGCTACTCCTGTTCATGGAAGTAATGTGGTAGAATCTGGTCTCATGCCGCAGACAACTGGACAGCAGAATGGGCTCCCAGGTCCATCGTCCTTAGCGGAAGTGATGCGATCAATGAGACAACTATTGACTGAACAAGCAGTAGAATGCATATCTGTATGTCTTTTTGGTGAAGTTTCGTAGCATGTCTAAACTGTTGATTTACTTGTGCCACAAAAATTATTTCGCCGACATGTACATATTGTGGTGACAAAGGAATGTTTCAGATCATTTTTTAAGTCTCAATACACCTAGAATCTAGATGGGACATGCATTAAAAATTTCTTGACTTAATCCAGTTGAATCCCAATTGCTCTGCAATGTAAGTTTGTCTGAAAAGTGCGAATCCAGATCTTACAAGTAATGGATGAAATATGGATCAGGAAACTCTGAAGAATTCCGAAGAGGCATAATGGAGAGGGATTGTGTATTTTTAAGAATATAGAATCTTTGAAGATTTGTTATAAGAAAATTTTGTAATAAATAATTATTGAAAAATATTGAGAGAAATTAAAGCTCTCTGGGAATGAGAGCTTGAACTAAGTTTTTGCACACAAAGGAATAGAGATTACGGTAGTTTGGTTCTAGGGTTTATTTGACTTAAAGAGAAAATTAATTCCTGTTCCTTTTTTGTTATCTGATTTTTGTGTCCTTTGGTATTTACACATATGCAGTATCTTGCAAGCCAACTAGATGATCATGGAAATGTGACAGATCCATCAACGCGGACAGCCTTTCAGCTAAACATGCTTCGATCGGGGGTGCTTTTGCAGAACTTAGGTGCTTCACTGCTTGAGCTTGGTCGCACAACTATGATGTTGCGGTTGGGCCAAACGCCGGTGCGTTTATTTCCCTGTTTTCTTAGCTTTCTAAATGAAACTCGGTGTGGGAATGTGCATGAACTAAGGCATCTATGCTCATTCTTCTCATTGGGGGCTTGTTTATGACTTCCTCAGGTTGATGCTGTGGTTAATGCTGGACCTGCAGCATTTATATCCAGTACAGGCCCCAATCCTATAATGGTGCAGGTGTGTTCTGCGTACATATGCCCATCTTTAAATCAGTATATTATTTCCCTTTTCTGATTTTTTTTTCCTGTGGTCAAACTAATGAGCAGCCACAGCCTTTTCAACTAGGAACAAGGTTTGGGGCATTTCCAATCGGAACCATGCAACCTGGGTCTTCATCTGGTGGAAGTCTTGGTTCTGAAGCCATCCCTAGGAACATTGACATATCAATACGAACAGGTATGAAGATCAGTCAACTTCTATAATGTGGTGCATCACGATAGGGGAGATTCTAAGTCTCTGTTTGTTATCATAAGACTGTTAAGTTTTCATCTTATAACTTTTTGCGTGTTTTTTGTACCTTAACTGATCATGTCAGCCATATTTGATTTCTGATCTCGTTACTTCACATTTATAGGTCCGTCAGTTTCTGTTAACCACACGGAACAGAGTGGTCCAAACCAATCCCAGCGACAAATAAATCCACCACTTTCTGGTGTAGCAAATTCTATGAATCAAGCTGTGGCAAGAGCAGCTGGGGTTCCATCAGCAAATACAGAACCTGAAGTACGAGTTTTGCCTGTTAGGACTGTGGTAGCAGCAATTCCTAGTATTAGGCTGCATCTTCTGGTCCTTCACGTAGATCAGTGGGATTAGTCTTACCAGTATTTGCGAGAGTTCAGCATGTATCTTTGGGTAATATAGGTGCTGCTGGAGGTTCTCAACCATCTGCTGAACATAACCCTAATGGACCAAATGCTGAGAGGTTACCAATTCCTGAATTTGATAGGCAGGAACAGAACACTGGGTTTCCTGCCAGAGAAGGTATTGGCAGTTTAAAATTACTTTCTCAGTCAGCTAGGTCTTTGGTATTGTGATTGGTGTCTCATTCTTGTTTTGGGGAGGCTTCTCTTTTGCTTTCAATCAATCTTCGGATAAGCTGGTATTACCATTTCTTTTTATGGATGATTCAGGATCTAATATGTAATGGACCTGATCGAGTTTCGTCTTTTCAGATGATTTCTCGTCATCTTTATGCTAAAGTATTCTCACTATTGGAGAATTATTTCTGTTTCAGTTGATTTTCCCTTTTTAAAATTGTTCTCAAGTCATGCCAAATTATTTCTGGTGTTCATTGCACTTCATGCTATCTTTGTCCTCACTTTCTGAATTGTTGCTGTGGTGTGTTTGTCTGAAATCTTGTTGCTGTTGGACCTTGTTGACTTCGTGGATGGCTTTTGTTTAAAGCTACTAACATTTATATCTCTACTAGTGCAATGTACATGCAAAATTGAGTATTAAGAATACTTGTTTGATTGATGCGTTCCAAAAGCCTATTTAGTTTATTTGACAATTTTCCATTTTCCCGTTATTTTCCTAACTTCCTTTCATGAGGAACAGCAGCCTATAATTTGAGAGTTCTGTTTTTATGGTAGTTATGCTAGCTTAAGACTATGATACATGTAGAAGGTGAAAGGAAAATATGTGCATTCTGCAAATAAATTTATGTGCTCCGTCACCCTTCAATTGTGCATATTTTACAAAAGAATCCTTCTCTCCCCTCTCCCCTCTCCCTTCTGCCTTTTTAGTCTGTATTCATTTGTGCAATCATAATACTTCAGGGAATAACCCTTCTGGTATTAGCACTCAAAATGGTGGAGGATTTCCGGAGTTGCATTCCAGATTCAGTCAGATGCTGAGGTCTATGCATGAGCAGTTAGATGTTGCCCGTGGCAATTCTCGAAGTGCAACACATTCTTCTGTTGTAGAACCTTCAGAAATAGCTGAGGCTACTGCTAACACAGAGGAAGCATCTCCAAGAGTGAGTGAGGAAGGAGCATTTCTCTCTAATGTGCTTCGCCAAATAATGCCTCTTATATCCCAAAACACTATTGGTTCAGGTGGTCCATCTTCTGAAGATACTATTAATAGACAAGCTTCCCAAAGACAGGTTGATAAACTTACCTATTTTCTCTCTGTTTGATGTCTCTTCCTATGAATATGAGCTTTGTATCTAGTACATGTACTTGAAGAATCAGCTGCAAAGTGTGAAACTTTGAGTTTTAGATTCTACATTTAGGATTGAAAATTTGGGAACCACAGTTAATCTGGGTTTATGGTTAATTCTCATATGCAGGAGTTGGACTCAGATATTGGGACGTCAAGGCCACACGCTGAGCCTTCATCCCCACCAAATGCAAAACGCCAGAAGGTATGCCATTCCCCCCAAAGGAATTAGGGTTTTGATAATGATACCTGCATAAACCTAAAAACTGATATTGTTTCTCCCTTTGCTTTATTGTAATTCAAATTTTAGTTGTTTGTGAGAGTTGAATCTTTTGTCATTTTGTACTAAATTGTCACTTTAAATAATTTTTTTTTAAAAAAACATTTCCACATGTCTAGATTTTTAAATACAAATACGGAAAGTTCAAGAAGAAACAAATCAGAACTCAGGGGAAGGAAGAAAAAAAAAAAAAAATATATATATATATATATATATAAGATAAATACCCCAAAAAATTGGATGGTTATGATGTAAAATAATGAAAACTCAATGACATTGATTATACTGTCACGCAAAACACTAGAGGAAACTGTAATTTGGGCTTTCTAACTGTTTCTTTGAACAGTTTTAACTGTGTTTTGGCTCTTATTGATGCAGAGAGAGTAATCCTTCTGACCAAGTCCTGCAACCGGAACATTCGTAGAATGTCTGGGGGGATGAGTGGAGTGGTGCATCCCAAAAGATAAAATTTCTTTTGGGCATCAATAGGCAAGTTGATGAACATATCAGCTTTTTTATTTAACTATTTGATCTGTTAAATGTTGATTCTGCAAGGTGGTAGCTTTAGATGTCATTTAAAAACTTTTATGTAGCTAAATTAGTATTTCTGAAAGCCTCTAGAGTTACAGCGAGTTGCTTGACTGTTAGGTTTTTATTTTTTAGTTGATTATGTGTTAGTTTTTTTAATATCCAAAGAATTGTAGATTTTTTAGTAGATTATTTGTTAGGTTTCAAAATACAGGTACAAACTATACAGATTTTTTATTCATGATCATGCAAATTCTTACTACATAAATTTTAAACTTACAGATCTCTCGTGAGATTACATAAATTCAAAAGAATAAGCTCAACATGTTCTATTCAATACAGTTAGGAGAAATGATATTATTTTTTTTAAAAAATCAAAAAATAAAAACCATGTCAAGATTATACAAATCAACCTGTTCTTGTGCCAAAAATCTTCCCATTTTAGAAGGAATCGAAGTTACATCTTTTTTCTATTTTTGTTCAGGAGTTCTTATATGTTTATACGCCCTTTTTAAGGCCTAGAAAAATTGACAAATTCATTTTCTTATGAACACATACAAGAGTCATCATGATAAGAAGGATAAAGATAAGCTCACTATAAACCACTTCATTTATGAATTTTATGGTAATAGAAATATATGCTCTATTGAAACAGAATTTGTATTTTACTATTCTATGCGAAAAAAATTACTTAATGGGTATAAGTTAAAAATAAATTTAGTGATATTAGGTTTGATAAATACCAATAGAATGAATTGTTTTAAAAATTGATATTAATTTATCCTATTAAAATAAAATAAAATTTATTTTGATTGAGATATACATGTAGCTAGCGATTCGATACAGATTCAAAATGTTTCATCGAAGGATGTGATGAACAGATTCGGTTTGTCCCCTAAATTAAAATTATATATATATATATAAACAATCTTTGAAAATTTGTTGATATATCATTTTTATCAGATTTTCATATCTATTGTGTGTGAACGTAAAAATATGCTTATTTCATCTTAACAATGAGTAAATCAATAAATGTATGAAAGTTTAATTCTCTTTTATCTTATGTTTTTAGACCAAATCACTTTTCGAAAAGATTTAATATTTTGTATTATTAATTTTATTTAATTTAAATATTAACATATAATATAAATAAAATCGAAATAATATAAATTAATAGAATATTAATTTCTCGTGATAAAAATGAATGATTTATGTGTATAAATGACAAATTAAAAAGATAGCAATTTCACCCAAAATATGATGAGTTTCAAGGTTTTATTTCGGAGTGTCAGGAGCAACTTTTTAATTTATCACGAGCCAGGACGGTGAATTCAATAATCACGTCCGTTAAATAGAAATATTAAAATAAAAAATAGATGAGATCTAAACAATCTTTTTTTTTTTTTTTTTTTGTTGAATATGAAAGGATAAAAAAGTCATTGCAATTGCTGGAAATATTAGGGCCCACCAAAGCCACACAAAAAGGGGTAAATCTGTCATAAAAAAAAAAAGGATACCTCAATGTGCTCCAAACAAATTTGTGAATTCAATGTTATAATTTTTTAACGTTCTAAATTGTGAATTTATTATTACTTATAAAGGTTTTAATTTTAAATGCTATAGGGACGCAATTTAGTATAAGTTTATAATGGGTTTTTCTTCAAATCCATGTGAGTTTTCGGAGTCTACATGATTAAGATTAAATACAGACAACTATCATATCAAAATTATTAAAGAAATTCATAAAACCACGAACGAACAATAACTCTTCACACTTGAAATTTAAAAAGCTAATTTTGCATTCTGAGTGTGATCTTGGGAGTAAATTCTCTCTTGAATACTAATAATTTTTATTTTAAAAGAACTGCAGGACAGAATTAGAAAATAACACCAAAATTTTCTTAAATCTCTAAAATCATGAATAGTAGCACAAAGTACTTGAACATTAACTTTAATACACAAACTTTATCAGTTCTACACAAACCAACTAAAAAGTTAGAAGTGAAGAAAATAGTTTATAGAGCTACAACTAATATAGCTCGTGGTATTCAATTTAAAAAGGCAACAAATTTGAGCTCAGAACTTAATATTTCTTCTTCATTTCAAATAATTATTAAAGAACCATGTGATTAGTAGTACAGAAATTTGGAAGCCATATTTTAGCGTCTTAATGTCAATTTAATGCGTTGAGATCCCTTTGATTTTTCTTTTCTTTTAAGTATTATTATGCACATAATGCAAGAATTCTACATCAACTGGCAATTCATTTAGATATTCATCCTTACGTAGTTAAAGTAGAAAAGGATCAAAAATACCTCTAGAATGATGAACTACATTCACAAAAATTCTGAATTTGTTTTAAACAAAGCACTATATAATAGAGTCAACATTTCGCCTATAGCAACAGTAGCATGACAAGAGAAGTAGAAAGTATACTAAAGATACAAAGCACTGAACAAAGCACTTGTAACCATTGAAGAACAAAGTGGCAAATTTTTCCAAATACAAAACATTCCATGAAAAGAAACTATTCATTATGAAGAGGAAAAATTAAATAACATTTCGTAAGAACTTTTAGCAATATTCAAAGGTTTCTGGAATAAAAGATCTAAAGTTCACATCCCAGTAAATGCCTTCTTACCCCCACTAGATGACCCCGCAGGTATCACTTTCAACACATTAAACCTGACTGTCTTCGACAAAGGCCTAAAAGAAGAATCTTCTATGAGCAATAAGGAAACCAGAGAATTTGAAATTCTGATAGAAAAATAAAATTAAAAAGGTATTCACCTGCACTGGCCAATAATAACATGATCCCCCTCCTTAACACGGAAGCATGGTGATATATGCGCTGGAATATTAGAATGCCTCTTCTCATATCTAAGAATTACAACACAGTAAAATTTATTGCCTGGAAAAAGGTTAGGAATAAAAAGCAACTTAAAATTGTTAAGAGCCTTGCCTCTGGTATTTCTTAACAAAATGAAGATAGTTGCGTCGGACAGTGATGGTCCTTCCCATCTTTGCACTGTGGCAAGTACCAGCTAGAATGCGACCCCTGATGGAAACAGTGCCAGTGAAAGGGCACTTTTTGTCAATATAAGCGCCTAAAGAAGTAAAGCAAGCGAATTCAGGTCATGTTTCTGTAAATACAGATACAGAACTTGTACAATAAAAAACCTTCAAGAAAGTCTCCTAAAACCAAATGACACCATGACTCATGACAAATAAAATAATGGTATGCTCCCCTAGTTCCACTTGAATGCAACCCAATAAGAACCACTACATTGGTTGAATCAGTTCTATGCTTGAAAGTTAAGGACATTATATGTTTTCCTACCATGATGTTCCTTCAAACAGATCTAGGAATCCAAATATCCAATTAGTAAACTCCAAAATGCAAGATCCAACCGTTATAGCCATTAATGATGCAACAACCACAAAAAGTCTATCACTTTTTTTTTTTTTTAAAAATAACCACAAGAAATCCAATATATAAGCAGCCATAAAATGAGATATATGATCATTGCATGAGACTATTAATTCCAGATTAATTATATTTTTAACAACCCGCTTAAAAGAAAAGGTCGCTGATTCTGCATATGAAATCCTAAACATGCTTGAAAACTAGAAGAGAACATAATATCTTCCAAAAAAATGTTAAACATCCAGTCTATAACTCCATAAAATATAGTTACGAAGTAGATATCATTCGCGACAAAGATAAACAACTGATGAGCCACATTCTAAAAGAGCCCGGAACAACTTAAGTCAATAAATTCTAGGTAAACAGAACTTAAAACACAGTATTCCAAAATTTTTATACGAATTCATGAATAGATAATTGATTAGACCCATCCCATTAAATGTTTCCAGCCAAACCGTATAGAAAGCTCTGTTATGTACCTACTAACCATTACATAAAACAATCCAGATACTAGTCATTTTACAAAATATCTACATCCATATTCCACATACACAGATAAGCACAATAATCTTGCTTCATGAGTCGAGGACCAAGAAAAGCTCACTAAGCACTGCACTTAATTATGAAAAAATAGACATAATCTACCAGATTACGAAAAGGAATAAACCTTCAATTGCCTCTCTTGGTGTCTTGAATCCCAAACCAATGCTCTTCCAGAACCGGTTGCCTCCTTTTCCTGGCCTCTTTCCTTTCCCTGACTTCTTCGAGCTACAAAATCGCAAGAAAATTCTTCTAATAAGTATATGCTAACAAATTAAACTTCTCTTTTAAATAAGAAATAATTAGAAATCTAGTTTTAAAAAGAACAAGCTGCACAGTCGATCACAAGGACAAAAAAATCAACTTCAACGAGACATGTACTAAAAGATTACCACCGGTTCTCTACTACATTCACTGAGTATTAGAGATAAATATAGCTGTAGCTGATGATGATTAGACACATCACATAACTGAAGTTAGATAAAAGCTAACCAAAGTCAGATGTTGGTTAGTACAATTAACTGTAATTAGTTGCTGAGTGATTAGTTGCAATTAGTGGCTAATTAAACTGATTATCATCATATTTATACTGTGAACATGATTAATGCAAAGCAGCTCTCGTTTTTCTCTTCCTCTCAAACTCGACGTTCCCTTTTCTCCCTCTAGCTTTTCCCTCTCTGGTTCCTAGAACTCAAACCAGATCGTGAGGATTTTTACAGATTGATGATAGATTTGATTCCAGTTTTTCAACACTGAGCAACCAAAAACGGCGACAAAATGCACTTATCTATAATAGAGTTCAAAAATAAATTGCAGCTATAGTCGGAATCTTACGCAAGGAAAACCTTCGGCTGCTTCAGGAACGCCTTCTCAGTCTAAAACGCAATAGCAGCATAATTAGAAATACTAATAAAGGACAAGGAATATATTTGCGTATGTATATGCATGTGAAGAGCCAGATGGCGAGAAGAATCTGAACCTGTTCCGCCATGATTAGATATGAAGATTGAATTCAGAACTGGTAAGAAAGAAAACCCTCGTGGATATAGAGGTCGCAAGAGTATGCAAGCAGAGAAAACCCTAGTGCATTGCTACTCGGAGAAAACTTATTACGGAAGTACATTTTTGTTGGGGGCCCAATAAGTACGACCTTTGGTCCATTAATTGTGGGCCCTGACCCAATAATTGTGGGCCCTGACCCTAATTGCGGGTCTTGACCCAATAATTTCGGGCATTTGACCCAGTAATGGCAGGCCTTTGGCCCAATAATTAAACAGTAGACTCAATAAAAGAAGTAGATAATATAAAATTTCATTTTTTTTTTGTATTTACATTAAAATTACATTTACACTTCACTAAAAAAAGGGAATATTTACATTTTAATAATTTATTATTAGATTTTACTAAATTAGTTCTCATTTCAAATTTTTTTAATTTTAACATCCTATGATAAATAATGTGATAATGTCATATAATATAAAATTGAACATAATTCTTTTATAACAATTAACATTTAAAATTATTTAAGACTATAGTATTTTTATGAATATATGATACTTTAAATAGAAAATAATAGAAATTTTTTATTTTTTCTAAATTTTTTATCTACTATCTACTTTAAAAATTATAATATATAAATATTAACTCTAATAAACTAAAAGAATAGTTAATTTATTTTATTTTAAAAATACGAATATGATAGCTTTATGGAATATGGAATGAAAGGACCCTTTAATATTAATATTATATAATTTTTTAATTTCTAGTTATAAAGAGGAAAATATTTTTTAAGATTATTTTTATGTCAACTAATTATTTATTTTGTGAGAGGTATTAATTAATTAATTTTAAGTAGTCATGGCCAGCAATTTCTTCAACTACTCCTTTAGCACCCGACGACTTCATGAAACCGCCATCGTCTTCTTCCTGACTTCCTCTCTCTCTCTCTCCCTTTGATTCCCATTCGGAGAGAAAGAGCCCGAGGAATACAGAGAAAATGGCTTGTGGGAATCTCTTCTATCCACTCCTCATAACCTTCTCAGTAGCTCTGATCACCTATAACATCATACTCGCCGCAAATGCTCCGCTCAAACAAGAACTGCCCGGCCCATCAAAATCATCTTCAATCTACGTCGACCCGGTAATCAAAATGCCAATGGACAGATCGAAATTGTACGGTTCTGGTTCCAGGAAGAGGCTGTTCCACACAGCAGTGACGGCCTCAAACTCCGTGTACAATACATGGCAGTGTCGGATCATGTACTACTGGTTTAAGAAGTTCAAAAATGGACCTAACTCGGAAATGGGCGCGTTTACCAGGATATTGCACTCGGGAAAACCCGATAATTTTATGGATGAGATCCCCACATTCGTTGCGCAGCCTTTACCAGCTGGAACGGATCAGGTAAGCTTCCACCATTTCAGTTACTGCAGAAATTTCTGACCTTTTTTCTGAGTATCGGTTTAAATTTTGGTACTTCAGTGTTCTTGGTGATTTTATTAATACTTTGGCCGTTAATATCGTTTTGAATTTGTCACTGAGAAATTTGAATTGGTTTTCTTTGTGGATTTCTGTATTTGGGGGATCTGTATGCTTGGAGAACTCTGTAACTTCGTGAATTGAAATTTTTTTTTATTAGCTTATTTCATTTTGGTGCATTTTGTTGATATGGAAGTCGAGATTACTGTAATTCCTTGGAAGGTTTACAGTTGGGAGCATGGAGGAAGGAAAATAAGAAATATTAGGGCTCCGTTTGGTAAAAGTATTTTTTGATTTTAATTCTCAAAATTTATAAATAAAAATACATTAAAACATAAATAAAGCATGGGTTTTCTTCTTTTCAAATTCACACCATATTAATTAGCATAAATCTAATTAGCATAAGTGGCTGTGCTTCACTCACTAATTTTAGCAAGTTGGATGCTCTCTTGACTAGCTTTGGCTACTAGTTATGCTGACTTGAATAGTTTTAGCAATTTATGATTATTGGAATATGTGTTCTGAGATCCCTCTGTCAGGTTTGGCACTTTATGAGTATATAAAGCTTGTACTAAGATCCCTCAAAGGGATTTAGTCTCGTATCATCAAAGTTGACAAAAGAATACACTTACTACTAAAATAAAAATATAAAAAATAGTCATGCCAAATTTTCGATGTAACTTTCAAAATTTTGTTTTCATTTCCAGCAGTACATTTTTGTGGATAAATATATACAATTTTAGGTAATAAAAACTGGAAATATGCATGTAGCAGATGGAGCCTAAGTATTTGACTACTATACAGAATAGTGAACTTATAAACAGTTGGTTAGGTTCATCTTAATTAGTTGGAAGATGATTGCTGGTTTATTGTTTGTCTCATAAAAGGAGATTTTGCAAGAATAGTGGCTTGGCGACCCTTCTTGAACAAGTTGGAAAGAGCTTCTATGCTTGCTCAGATACTTCAGACGCACTTCCTTTGTGCATAGGAAAGTAGTTTGCCTTCTTGATGTCTAGCTGTTGAATACTTACTTTAGAATTTCCAGTATCACCAGTTCACCACATCAATTCCTCTGAATAATAACATTCATATCCATTTGCCGGGGATGAAATATGTTCTTGCAGGTTTAATCATATAATATTCTCTGTTGATGTTAATTTCCGAATCTAATAATTACAGGGTTATATAGTCCTAAACAGGCCTTGGGCATTTGTACAGTGGCTTCAACAAGCCGACATAAAAGAAGAGTATGAATATTTATCTACTTAATCTTTAGCTTTAGTAATGATGTAACTTATCCATTTTGTAGATGCTCCGTAACTTGAGCTATTTTTATTGTGTATCCAGTTATATTCTGATGGCAGAGCCAGATCACATCATTGTCAAGCCTATACCAAATCTATCTAAAGATGGGCTTGGAGCTGCATTTCCCTTCTTTTATATTGAACCAAAAAAGTATGAATCAGTATTGAGAAAGTTCTTCCCAGAGGATAGAGGACCAATAACCAACATTGACCCCATCGGAAATTCTCCTGTCATTATTGGGAAGGTTTGTGTTTTGAATATATAGCTCTTTTAATGGTTTGTTTACTCGATAGGGAATCACCTGGGTATTTTCTACAAATATTGTTAGGATTCTCTTAAGAAGATTGCTCCCACCTGGATGAATGTTTCGTTGGCTATGAAGAAAGATTCAGAAGCAGATAAAGCTTTTGGCTGGGTGCTTGAGATGTGAACTTCCTATTCTACTTAATGTTGTGTTTTCTTGAGATGTGAACTTCCTATTCAACTTAATATCATGTTTTACTGTCTGAAGCCCCTTGTTCTTTTCTGCTCTCCTTCATGGATACAGGTATGCATATGCTGTCTCCTCTGCCCTGCATGGAGTCGGAAACATCTTGTACAAGGATTTTATGATTCAGGTTTGATGAAGCTCGTCTTCATTTTTTTCCTTAAAGTTTTAGTGACCTTTTGCAAATTGGAAGCTGTACCAAAGTTGGAATATCTCATCATAAAACATAAATGACTAATTCTAAGTCTTCCCTAAGTTTGTACCTTATGCAGCCGTTCATTCTCAAAAGATGGGTGTTTGGCATTTATATGGGAAAGATCCATGATAGCACTTGCGCTTTCTCCTAAATAAAGATTGGAAAAAAAAAAAAGACAGAAAAAAGGAAGAAAATGGGTGTTTGGCATTTACGTGGAAAGATCTATTCATGATATCAAGCTGTTTGCATTTTCTCCTTAATAAAGATTGATTCTTGCTTTTCTCTTGATTTTTTTCCTTTGACGATTGGAGAAAAAAAAGAACAGAAAAAGGAAGAAAATGGGTTTCTGGCATTTACGTGGAAAGATGTATTCATGATATCAAGCTGCTTGCATTTTCTCCTTAATAAAGATTGATTCTTGCTTTCTCTTGATTTTTCCTTTGACTATGAGTAAAATAAAACAAAAACAAAAAAATGGAAGACAAAAGGAATATTTCTTATTCTGAATTTGCTGCTTGTGAACTTCATTGTGATGCCAATTACTTGCTGAGTTTCCATCATCTTTACCAGCAGTTGCCTGTTTTATGACATTCAGCCTCCTTGGGATACAGAAGTTGGCAAGAAGTTCATCATTCATTACACTTATGGATGTGACTATGATATGAAGGTACTATTTTGATGATTAGTTCCTGCCTTTGTTGCGAAAGAGATAAACATTCTCATGGCTTCCAACTTAAAATTTATACAGACAGGTAGATGATAGCTAGGTTGATGAATCAGCAGTACTAAGAATGTCCATTAATATCCTTTGGATTTTTATTTAGTATTAAGATTATATTTGACAAAAATGCCAATCTCTTTTTCACTGTTCAGGGTCGGCTTACCTATGGAAAGATTGGAGAATGGAGGTTTGACAAAAGATCATATGATAATACCGTACCCCCAAGAAACCTTCCCCTGCCTCCTCCTGGAGTTCCTGAAAGTGTGGTATGCTTTCCAACACCTTATAACTGCTTGTTTATCGATGTATATTTGGCATTTACCAAGGAATACGTATATCCTGTCAAGTTCAACTTCCAATTTTCTTCATTGCATCAAATTGTTTTTACATGGACAAGGGTGTGTGCTATTATAGTGCCGCATGGGCATATATGCTTTCATCACTTTAAACCTTTAGACCAAAGAAAGAAATACTTTAAGCATTCAAAAATTCTAGAAAAAATTGAAAACCAATTAATTTTAGTCAATCATTCTTCGGAGGTATCATGTCTGTGAAGCACATTAGAATTTCCATATTGATGAAGCTAAACATAGCGGCAGAGGGTGAGACCTTGTATGGAATACTTTGATCTGTGGGATTATTATGCTTATACTAAGTTCTGTTTAACATTCTCGAATACCCAAGTGAATCTGTTATGGGGCTGCTGCTGTTGCTGCTGTTGGATTTTAGGTTTTAAGTGAATATGATGCAGGTGACGCTGGTAAAAATGGTAAATGAAGCCACAGCCAACATTCCAAATTGGGGATAGTACAAAAATGCTGTCAAACTGAGAGCCACACTGCAAAAATTAAGATGACTTGTTGATTTCCATGTATTTAGTCTTAGTTACATATATATATTCCAGTTGACATGCGGCAACTGACAATGTACTATAGATGATTATGTATCCTAAAGCTTGTCGAATAACCATATATGCCACGCTGCATTGGTTCAAATTTATTGTATTTTTATTTTTTTTCAGATTCTAATTATTTGGTAGGTGAAGTTTAATTTACCTTATTTAATTCTATAATGATAAATATACATATTTTTTTTCCCCTGTGAAAAATGAATTACAAACACCTAAATTTGAATTTGAGAATTGATTTATAGTTGGAATATTATTTTTATTTAAATATTTCTTTTATTAATGTTGAAGTCGTATTTTTATTAAAAAGAATTGAAATCAATCTAAACCCAACCATGACTTCAATACGTCATCCGACATGTCATGATTTCTTTGAAATTGGCTGGTTCTTCCTTTCTCTTGTTTGGCTTGTCACGTAGAAGTTTTAACTGAGTACTGCTATAAATTGATTCACATAATGGTAACATGTTTTAATTTACTTTATTATAAGATATTTAATAATAATTGTAATAAATTTTTAGAACTAATTACTTTTTAGTTTATCATATTTGTGTGGAAGTACATTAATATATATATATATATATATAATGGATTCAGTTATAAAATCTTTATTATTGGGAAACAATTCGATCTTATTCTTAATGATATACAAGAAAATGAGGAGCTTGACACTGAATCCTCATTCCTAAAACTTATAATTTGTACTTAGAAGAGTATCTATTTATAATAATTTTAAATTTTTAATTTACTAAAACAAATTATCGTGATAATATAAATAATACTTAAATATCTGTTTAATCTAATAGTATATAATAATTACTATAAAATATTCTGAATATAAAAATAAAATGTGAATGTAATGATATTTATTTATTTTTCATAAAAATATATGTGTATTTTAATTTTAGACAACTATAATGCATGGTTTTCAAACAATTTTGAGTTCACAATTTAAGAGAATTAAACAGCATAAACTTCGAGTTAATTACGTTAATTATGCAATACAAAATTCTCGCACGGGCTTAAAGCTGATTTTGGCTATAAACTTCCATTAGGTTCAATTTTCATTTTATCTCCATAGTAAAACTTTAGTCTCTAAATAATAATTACAACGTTTTTTATTTAATGAAATCCCCACCCTCATTAAATTCTTTTGTGCCAGAGGTTCTGATTGCGTAAGAAAAAATTGATTCCTACTACGGAAGCTAGGAAGTAAATATTAACTGAGAATCAAACAGGAACTGAACCAAATGAGCGGTAAATATTATATATCTTATGCACAACAGCTTATATATATACATACATACGTAAAAGATAACTAGAAATCAAAAGATCAATAGTGATTTATTCGAACATCCATGCGAAAAATCCATAAGCAACGCATTGAAAATGAATATAGATTAACCCGTCTAAGTAGAAATTTCCATGGGAACAATTGTGAAACATTAACACCTACAAATCTGCCTCACTGAAACCAACGCTATTCCAGATACCTACAAGGAGGACCAAAAAAATGGCAGCTTTTGCATGTATATATACATAGTATGGAAATATATTCCAAGTTCCACATGAACAAAATGACAATATATGGGATTAACGATGCTACCACAAAAGAATTATTTTCTTTTACTTACATAAAAGTAGACCTGATCATCAGTTCAGGTAACGCCGGCAGTTCTTTGAATTACAGAAACACGGTATCTTCTTGCCTTCATCCTCATGGTTAAAGTGATAATCATATGTTATTTCTTCTCCTGGGTATATGTCTCTCTCTGCGAAAAAGACAACCTGCAATGCTGAATTGAATGATCAAGACGATTCTGCTTTTGGGACTGGATAAACGTCAGTTAACATGAAATTCTATTTGGTTTCAGCTAATCAATAATGAAAAAAAGGTGCTTGCTCAGAGCACGTAAACCTTGATGGCCAGTTTGTTAATTTTTCTCTCAATTTCTAATTTAATTTATAGTTCTAATTTTTATTAGTCTTGATGGACATAATATTTGAGCATATACTAGCTAATATGAAGACTATAATTAAAATTTAATTGGAATTAAATAAGAAATGAACCAACAAGAACCTCAGGAATTGAATTGGTTTTTGGGTTAGGGATTGTGGTTTACATAAAGGCATTACACCAATGACTAATGAGGGTAACGAGACCTGCCACTAAATCAATTATATGAGAGAATACAGAGAAGGCCAAGAAAATATCGTAGCTAAAAACAACCATTCTACTTTGAAAGGCAAATACAAAGAACCAACCAACTCTTACAAATATATGGAGACTCATAGGTGAACTTCGAGTTACCTTTTTTTCATTCCTCACTGATATCACTTTGGCGACGCAGTTCGGCTGGTCAAAGAAATTAAGAACTAAGTTAGAAATCAAAGCATTAGAATCAAAAATCCTGCTATTAAAACATATTATCTCATTTCTAGCTTTAAACAAACTGTCCCTGAATGCAAGTGAGAAAATTACCAAGCATGAATGGTTGACAAAGCGAGCAATTCCCCCTTTGAGGGTTGCATCAATTATATGCTCTGTGTCTATCCTGAAAAAGTAGCAAGCACTTTTGTACTGCAGTTTTCGTCCAGACTGATATTCAATTTCCCTCTTGTCAGCCACACGCAGTCCCACAATCTCCCCAACATACTCAACCACCTAATGGAACATGAGTAAATCAAATTTAAAGATCATGATCAACATTTTATCTTGATAGCTGAAAGGACAGGTTCAGACCATTTCGCCTCGGGAAATGAACCGAGATGTATAAAGACCTAGAGCATGTATGCCAGACTTGTAAACAACCAAATGCTTCCAACCCCTTGCCTGTTTATAGCGGACATATTCTTTCTGCAAGTAATACAAAACTCAGTTGTACAGCAACACAAATATAGCATGGACTAATTTTATCATCTGGAAAATTCTTAACAGACGGATGATCCATGCTTCCTTTAGCAATCAGAAAGAATTCAGAACTATCCGGTAAGAAGAAAGAACTGGAATATAGGACTTTTGACTGCTTCTCCAGCAATGTCTAACATGGCTTTGTTAAAACAATAGCAGATTAACAAAATAATTGATCCATGTCAGGATTTTTAGAGAGAGTTGCAGCTTTTATTAAATTACATTTTTCTAACCTTTGTATGGATCTTTTTCTTTCACCCATAGTTGAAAAAAATGGCATACTTGTTAAGTTGCAACAGGAACTTACCCGACAATCATACTCAACAGTTGTTGGAAGCTTCGAAAGCCACTGTGTGCATGACTTCTGTCCATTGATGTGAATCCAAGCATTTAACTGCTCCTGGGGAACAAAGCACCCGCCTTTTCCTCTTGATTCACCATAAAGGTTATGCGAAAAGCCATCTCGTTTGCGGCCCTTGTAACCCTAGTTAAAATGATCACAAGACAGTGCCTCAGTTCTCTGCAGAATTTTGACCTCCCTCAAAAAGGGGAGGGGGGGTGGAGGGGGAGGGGGAGGGGGAGGAGGAGGAGAGAGGAGAAAGACTTTTAATCAGCAAAGCACCTCAGTCCTAGCACAGGTTGATTCTCTTTCCACCATACAATCCATTTTAGTAGCTGAAGAATTGCCACCAGATTTAGATTTGGGAAAAGTGGCATGAAGTCCACATCGTCCATAAAAACCAAGTTTTTCACTGTCAACACCTTCAACCTCACTTTGCAACAGACCCTGAAACCAAAATCCCATGCATTTGTGAAAATACATTCCTTGAAGATCCATATTGTTGATAACTACCATGAACACATAAAGCTTTTTGTTTAACAGCAAAAAGCTTTATCATTGAGGACAAAAATGGACAAGAAGTCTAGGCTTTCTGCTATTAATAACCACAAGGAGCATTCCCACCATATAAAATAAATGTAGAGTCACTAAAGTTTCAGAGATTTTCGGGGCAGCAACCTTTTGGTGAGCACACCAAGGATGGAAATAAACAGAGCAATTCATAACCCTGCACCGAATACAAGAGCCACCTGGTCGATCACAGAATGAGCAAACCTGGGAAAAGAAAAACATCAATTACAGCTCACACTACCCATAAAAGCACAGATATTGGGCAGCCAATCTTATTTCTACAAAACAATTCTTAAAGACATCTCAAGACAATGAAATTATCAAAATAAAATAAAATACATATGCAATACTGTTGAGTACTTTATAGCTCTTTATAAGAGTAATAAATTACTTATCAAATTCTAATTGACTCTTACTAACTGAAATTTAAAAATTTTGATATTCATCTGTGAATTATCACACATGTAAGGTTATATTAACATGTATCATATCGCCAAAAATTAGAATGTTAATGTTTGGTTATGCATCATATACACTTGTAGACGAAACACAAGGTAAGTTCATATGTAGAACCTGGATAAATTATTCAGTGAATTGAATTCCAGTACATACCGCATTTCGTCTGGGCCGGTAAGCACCAGATACATCAAATGTGCTCATAGTGTCAACATTTGGGCATCGTGTCCCAGGAGTCCAGAGTCCACAAACCATATGTACCCATTGCTTTACATTTGATCCAGCACTCCAGCTGTAATGCTATTATGTATCTTCAAGTTCTTGACACGTGATGGGGAACTCCAAAATAGTATTCAACTGCTTCTGTAATCATTTTCCACACAGCA